CCAAGATGGTGACCAGGGGGTGGGGCACCTGTCAAGGGGTGGGGCTACCCATGCAGCCCTCGACAGCTTGCCAAAACTGGGTAAGTGGCCCTCCACCTGAAATAATTGCCTGGCCTATAGTAGAAGGATATGATCTGACCTCTCCTGGCCTGGCCTGTGTTCTAGGGGAACGTGTGGGTGCTTTCACCGTCATCTGCAGTGATGCAGAGGAAGCCAAAAGGGTGGAGTCCCAGCTGAAGATCCTGATCCGTCCCATGTACTCGAACCCACCCATCAATGGAGCCCGGATTGCCTCCACCATCCTAAACAGCCCTGACCTGCGAAAGGAATGGTAAAACAAGTCTCCTCCACCAGACACCAGCTTCTTCCTTATCTGCTCATGGTGGGAAAGAGGCTGAGTAGAAACAATGCAGGCCAAAGTATTAAATAAATCAGGACATGGGAATGTCCCCATCGCAGGGAGGGAACACAGCAGAATAAAACTGCACTGGAGGGTCCTCTGGCCCATGGCCTATCCTTCAACTGCCTCCCTCAAAAAAGGGGATGCTTCAAGAGGCTTCGTCTTGGGAGAGGAGCTCCTAAGCAGGGCCCATTGGTCCCACTGAGCCAGCTTGGTGACTTGGCTCCAAGAGAGATGCTTCTCTGTTTCGTTTGGGCTGGCTGCCACTTTTGGGAGCCCCCAGCTCAAATGCACCGTTAACCAGGCTTCCTTGCTTGGATTTTCTGTCTTATGGGGCCATGGAGCCCTGGCAAGAAGCTGCAAAGTGAATGAATCTATTTATCTGCAAGCATCTGGCTGCTGTGGGTGCACTTCTAGAGCTTCCCTATTTAAATGTAGTTTATCTTGCACCTTCCTTTGGCTACTTTGTTTTATTGTTTGTCCCTCAAGGGAAGTGTATGAAATAGTAGCTTATTCAGAATTTCATGGTACTTGCACACCTGCACCTGTGGCATCATCCTGGTAGAAATTCAGGCTGGTATGTGCTGTTCTCTTCCACTTTTAAGAAACCATGAACTAGCTGTGATGGTGACTTGGGTCTCTTCAAGAGTGAAAGCTGTTGTTTGTCCCTACAGCTTTGGGCAACCAAGGGTCTGACTGTGTCATGGCCTTCCCTTCTCCCTACCCAAGTACATCTCAGCTGGGGAAGTGGGAGCATGCATCTGAACTTTCACCTGCCCCAAGAAAGACCAAGGGTGATAGCCCTCCCACCCTCACTCCTGTTTTCTGATCTCACTCCATCCCCCTTTCCCAGCCCTTGTGATAGTTTGGTAGAATTCAGGGTCCCTGTAGGCAGTCAACTTTGCAGAACAAAGGGAAAGTTTTGTGCTGGTGGTTGATGCTGTGCTACCCTCTCTCCTTCTGGCAGGCACATATCTAGCCTGATGTTTGTGTGCCTGAAATACATGTATATAGACCCTAAGCCCCAGCAGATGAGGCTTGGATGGATTGCTTCTGTGTATTAAGTGTCAGCTAGTTATTTTGCCAGGTTTTTTTTATTTCTGTCCCTTATTCCTAGTTACATCTATTGAACCAAACTTTATCATGGACCGTGTCAGAAACTTAGGCTCCTTTGCGACAACTCTGTTTTTTTGTGTGATACGTTGTCCCAACCCTCTGCTTTGAGAGATCCTGGGAAATTGTGGGTCTCAGCTTGGTCCCCACTGAGCAGGAGTCTGTCACAGAACTTTTTAGGGTGGTGGTTCTCAACCTTAGGCTGGAAAAATAATAGAACAGTTTGCCTGTAGCAGAGATCTTGGGAAGACTGCAGCAGGTCAGAATGTTTTCCCATTTGAAGGGATTCCTACATGAAATCTCTGGGTTTATCTTGTGAATCATGTGTACATGTTTGCATACCTAACAGTGCTGCTATGGAGCAGAATGCTGGCTGAGAGTTGCTGTTCTCTGGGCTAGTAAAAAGCAGTTGTCTTCCATTATCAAGGAAGAAAAGCAGATTGTAGCCAGCACTGACTCAACTAAGACCTTCAGTTTTGTTCTGCCTCTTTCACTTTGGTGATCTCTTGCCCTTTGCACAGTGAAAGAGGTATATGGCCAGGTTAAAGTAGCAGTGCACTCCAGGCAGACAAAGCTGCCTCCTGACTGGATGTGCAGTGAGGAGAGGGAAGCCTTGGAGGCATTAGGATGCTGCTTTTGCCCTGTCGTATTCTGCGTCCTTTGTTCATACATGTGCTGTCCCTGCAGGCTGGGAGAGGTGAAGGGGATGGCTGACCGGATCATTGGCATGCGCACCCAGCTGGTGTCCAACCTCAAGAAAGAGGGCTCCTCCTCCAACTGGCAGCACATCACTGACCAGATTGGCATGTTCTGCTTCACAGGGCTGAAACCGGAGCAGGTTAGTGCAGTTCCTGTCTAATCGGGATGAATTTACCCTTAACTGAGGGAGGGTGGATAAGGGAAACGGCTGGAAGGAGGCAAATGTCTGTTGTAGTTGGCATCAGGCTGGGCTCATGGCCCGCATGCTAGTGGAGGAGGGGATGACAAGTGCTTGTGTCCTTAGGGAAGCTGAGGAAATGGTGGTGGCAGAGAACTGAGGAAAATGTTTTTGCCCTGGTTGTGGGTGGTGAGGAAATAGCCTACTTTTCTAACCTACTTGGCAGCTCAGTTAATGCTCGAGCAATTTAACATCTCTAAAATTCTGTGCAGTTGCTTCATCTTCAGTGATTTGATTTTTAGCAAGTTTGGTCCTTCCAGGTTTGAACAACAAAAATTTTATATTGAGTCTGCTCCTCTTAACAAGGAACTTGCTAGTTATTCTCATGTCTTTTTTTTCCCCCCCCTTCTTTTTCTCCCCACCCACCCAATCAGTATTCTTAACCTTTTGGTTTTTGATTGCTTCTGTGACACGAGCATTCCTGCCCCCTTTCCCTCTCCCCACATTGCTTAAGCAAAGAATCCAAAGAAATATAATCATAAAGCGCAATGATCAGTAATACTCCTCTCTTAATGGATGGTGTTAAAGTTCAGCTAGAGCAGGAGTGGGCAATTTTTTTCTCTGGAGGACCTCTCTCAACAAGTTTTGGTGAGCTGTCAAGAGCCACATAAGCAGGATGTGCTCTGGTCTGAGTCTCTAGGGGTTACACTTGCATTTTAGGCAAACCGGATGGGACTGGAGCCCCATCCTGCCAGGTTGGCCCTGAATGTAAACTTGTATGTATTGCTTGTGTTTCAGGTGGAGCGACTGACTAAGGAGTTCTCTATCTACATGACTAAAGACGGCCGCATCTCCGTAGCGGGGGTCACATCAGGCAATGTGGGTTACCTGGCTCATGCTATCTACCAAGTCACCAAGTAAATGCAGCAGAGCAGCTGGCCTTCCCCTTGGCAGTCCCTGGCCTCTGATTCCAGAGGATAGAGAAAGTGAAGGGCATTTAGGGGGGCAAGCAGATGGCTTTCAACCACAGCACTTAACTCAGTCATTGAATGTATCTTGTAGGCAAGGCAGTGGCTAGAGGCTTTGACACATGTAACCAAAGCCACTTGCATGCCTCAGGCTGGCTTCCTCTCTTCCCTTCAAAAGCATCCTATCATGAATTGCCTCCTGACCCTACATGGAAGTTTTTCAGACTTGAAGTGAGCATCTTGGCAGGATTTCTTCAAACATTTACATCACTAGTGTTTGAGTAGCACAAGCACTGAGTGCTCTCTCCCTTACCTGAGAATGTTTCTTGAAACAGTTACTCACTTAAAACAAGCTAGAGCAGAAGTCAGGCCCCTTCCTTTTCAACTCTGCTCTTTGTGCTGACACAAGTCCATACAGTTGTAGTTTTCTGGGTTTTATTCTGATCAGCTCCTCAGGACATCCTGGTGTCTAAATCTGATGGTACCACTTCTCCATTCCTGTTTGCTTCATTGCTGCCCCTCCTACCACTTTCCTCAAATGTCCCTGAAATTGAGGTTCTGCTCTGAAAAGGGCTGGTCACTAGGGAAATCTCTGTTGGCATCTTTGATCAATGAATGTAGAACCTTCATGATCTCTCTCTCTCTCTCTCTCTCTCTCTCTCTCTCCCCCCTGCCCCACACACAGTCGCTCAAATTTAAAGCCAGACTTACTTGTTTAATCCTGAGCACATGACAACTAATACTGTTGAACTCTGTCTTCCCAGTGTTTATCTGAAGCTGAGTGTTAATGGTTGAGCCCCTCTCCTTTCTTTGTCAAGATACTGTAACTTGAAGATCCGTTTTCAGTGAAACATTACAGTATGTGCAATTCTTTATAATTGAGTTCTGGTTCTATCATCCCTCATTATACAGGTAAAGACAGCAGTGTCAGCTGTGTGTCCAGCCATCCCAGAGACTGTTTTGATCTTGTGACTGCCTGTGCCTGTGGATTTGAGCCACAGCTGCCTGTCTAAAATTCCCACCCACTAAACAAGTAACTGGACCCATTTAAAAGGAGAGAGCTTTAAGGCCCAGCAGTTCCTTATGACTGGGAAATGTTTCCGTTGAGGGGGAGCAGGGGCAGGATGGAGATCTTCACTGCAGAAGGCAAAGTGATAAGCATGTGCCTGCTGCTGCTGCTGCCTCCTCTTCATGAGTATTCTCTTCTCCTCCCCTCAAGTCAAAGGGACTCTTGCTGCCACCCTTTTCCTTTTTTTGCCTCTTGCACAGCAGTTTAATCACAGGCAGTTTTGGATTCTGTAATTCCTGTTGCTAGCAAGCTTCCCTGAAGATCTACTAGCCTGTCTGCCCTCAACTGCCACCTTGATCTGGAGAAAAGCAGTAACTGCTCATGAGGTAAAGACTAATTTCCTGTTTCTCAGGTTAGGAGAAATTGATTGCACTTTAATTGCACACTTCATGCACATGGCATGGCCTTTTCCTTCTGCCCTGGAACTCCTGAAGCTGCCCACCCAAAGCCCCTGATTGTGCAATAATAGGTGTTGGTGCTAGTCTGTCGTGGTTGGGGATGACTTTTTTTGTGCTGTGGTTTGAAGCTTCTGTCTCCTTCAGACTCTGACCTTTGCCCATTATGGAGAGCCCTCTGCCATTGTGTAATTGTTTAGGCCTTTATGCAGCCTGTCCTCTGTTACAATAAATCTAGAAATGGAGCACATCTGTGTGTCTTCAGCGTCTGTTGCCTTTGCTGAACCCACCTTAATTCTCAAAAAGCCACAAACAACTTGTGCTGCTCTTGGGGAAGGGATTAGCTAAAATCAAACACTGAATGCTACAACTTCCTTTAGGACTCTAGCTTTTCTAGGAGATGGAGTGGGGAAAGCTGGAATATTTGAGGCAAAAATACCTGCCTGCTCTTAGCATTAGAGGTACTAGTTTCTCTTTGACTAGTGCCTACTGGGATCTGACTCTTCCAGGGTGCTGAATATCTACATCTCCTGTTGACTTCAGCTAGAATTGGGACTGCTTACTACTCCAGAAAAACTCAGCCTGAGGTCACTTGAGGGACAAAAGAGTATTCAAAATCTGCAGCTGGTTTTGAAAAAGTTGACTCTCTTATTTCAGCATCTAGTGAGCAGGAGGACTACTTTTGGAGTTGAGGTGGGGGAGTTGCCTACTAGGCACTTATATGGTGGAATGTTGCTACAGCAGAAACATTTGCCTAGACAACAACTTGGGTAGATGACAAGGGAGAAGGGGTCAGGATTGGGGGCCTATGCCCATTTATTTTGTATAGGAAATATTCCTGTTCAGCACAAGGGCAAACAATGCTGCCATTACACCATTGTGGAGTTATGCTGGAGTGATCAAGCATGCTACATCTGTGTAAGAGAAAGCCTTACCTTCCTGTCCTACCTGTGCATCTATACTGTGCATCTCTGCACTCAAATCCTAACTGGGTTTGGTGACCATTCAGTTTGTATAAGGATGCACCACCCTTCAAACCCACTAAGGTACAAGAATAATATACTGGAGACTTTTTTAGGTCCCTACAACTGTACCCTGTCTGCAGAAGTCACAATGCTTCAAGCTGCACTGAGCTGCTTTTGGGGACAGCAGACTAAAAAAGCTAACAAATAAAGGAGAGGTATTAGCATTACCGTCTGCGGTTGATAGTAGTAAGCAGGGGGTGCCCTTCTTTATCCAAATTGCTGTTGCAGCAAATCTTAAACAATCCCTTGTCCTGGTTGGCTCTGTGAGCAGTGAGTTACCTCCACCTGTATCTGGAGCGGGGTGACACATAGGGGGTGCATGTGCACCCCCTGAGCGTGGCGGTGCACCCCCTACAAAAAGGTGCTGCCGACAGCGTCGGTGGCACCTGCAGGTGGTCACTGCTTGCCACCCCCACCCCCTGGCGCAGACACCACTGGTGGATCCTTGCTGGCCACTGCTGACACAGCCAGCAGCATCTGCGGGTGGTCGCTGACTCCTGGCTGGCGTTCGTCCCCTGGTTGGTGCTCACGGGCCACCCCCCCAGGTCCGCCGTTGCCTCTGATGGCTCCAGTGGCATCTGCGGGAGCTCCTACTTAACACTGCCATGCTCCTGCCACCACCATGCCCCTGCCTGCTGCCGGGGGCACAATCATTCATGTTCTGGAGCCTGGTCAGAAGGTCACAACAGGGTCCTATTTTTAGTGAAAATTGCTGTATCAAACCCAGAGACATAAACAACGGCTGCAGTCATGGATCCTCCTGTAGCCAAAATTTTCCATTCTCTAGAATTCAGCCTTGCTGCCTGCTGAGAGAACCTCCTAGTGGCCCACTCTGCACTGCTCCCATGGAGTTGCACAGTAGACCTGTGCAAAGCTTTGGTCCTTGATTCGATTCAGCCTGATTTGGTGGCCAAATTTCCAAATCCGAATAGAATCAGAGGACCCTTTAACCTCTCTGAATCAAATCAGAACCCTCTGAATTGATTTGGAGATCTGGACATAGGCACAACTTTAAATGTTTTTTCTACATGCCTCTAGGTAGCAGGCAGCTCGTCAACACTGCGATGGTGGAACGCATGTAGTGTCCCACAAGCGCGGGGGGACACCCCCAGTGCACTTGGCAGCAGACCCGGAAATGCTTCTGGTCCACTCCCAGGTCGGCTGGAGAGTGCCAAATCGAATCGGGGACAATGATCCAAAACAACGAATTGAATCACTGTCCCTGATTTGGGCTGAATCTGCGTTGAATAGGGCCTGCTTGGCACACCCCTATTGCACAGCCCTGCTTCAGCCAAGTCCTGGAGGTGATAAGCCAGACAAAAAATGCCATTGAAGTAGCTCAGGTAAAGCTGGCTGTCTTTTTTGGCAAGCTGACCAAAAAAAAAAAAAAAACTCCTATGAAAATACTGAAACTTGTAACTAGTAGAAGGAGTGTTGTAGTTGTGATGGTCCAGGAAATATACAAGAGGCAAGGATATCTTTAATTCTGTTTAACTGCATGGTAGGGGTAGGCTTAGACAAGCTTTAGAACACAGTGCACTTTTTCTGCTTCCTGTGAAATCTGGCAGCTTGGCATTTTTTTAAAAAAGAACATCTGTACCAGGGTGAGGGGGGCCCATTAGACCACCACTGTGCCTGCACCTTGATCCAGCTGCAGTAACAGCCAGGGTCTTGGGGCTCCCCCTCCTCCATTTCCTGGCTTCTGCTGCCTAATCCAGGGGGGTGGGACAGCTTGACACAACCTGGTATGGGCTGGGCTGTAGTACGTGGTGAACTAGTAGCCTAGAGGGACCATGGTGCTTCAGGGGAGCCCAGGAGCTGCAGGTGAGACAAGGTGTTGCACCCCATGGGGGCAGTGGGTGGAGTGCCTGTTCCTGCATGGGATGCAATGAGGGAGGAGGAGAGCACTGACCTGCATGTGTATGCTGTGCAGCCCGGGGGCCTGTGGTTCATGGGACGTGCAGTCCCTGGCCACTTGGAAGTGGATCAGCCCTGTTCTATACAAGTACAGAAACTTTAGGCAAGTGTGATATGGAAACTGTTCCACATCTTTTCAGACCAGCTGTGACAAACTCAGTGGAGGGAGTCTCAGATTTCTACCTGCCCACCATAGACCAGAGTGTAGCCAGTTGGGGGCAAGTATGGACTTTCTAGTGTTTCTGCAGTACTAGACACTGCTCTAGACCACAAAGCCACAGTAGTGCTAATAACAAACCCCAGAATAGCTCCTGGGCTAGATGTGTTGAGGGCGGTTTCCATTCTCTGTTTATTGCATTAGAAATTCCATCTCTGCTGGTTTAGTTAAATGTACTGATTTCAAAGATGACCATAACAGCCCTGCAGTTCAGCTGTACCAGCTGTCAGGCAGGGTTGCAGGTAAGGTGGGGCATGAGGGCACTACCTTCCCCATGTTTACTCAGATTTCTTTGTTTTTGTCCCTATAGGAAAAAGATAGGTTCCAGGTCTTTCTTTCCCATGTCCTTATTCTGAATTTCTTCAGGTGGATGGTTGTTAATGCCAAAAATAATTATCACCTTTCCAGTACTTAGCAGGGGCCTGGAAAGAGGGATGTGCTATTGACTGTGTTTTGACAGTGAAGTGTGTTGTGATTGTGTTACCTTGCTGCTGTAATACAAGATGTGTAGCACCAGTAACAGGTGGTTGTCAGAAAGGGTTTTCTGTAGGGAGAGATGCAGGGTACAAGCTAGGCACATGGAGATAAAGGGCTCTGTGGTGGAATATGTGACGGGAGCCTGCCTATCTGTTTGGAGGGAAAATAAAGAGAATGAAGCAGAGAGAAAAGAGTTCCTTTCAAACCAAAAAAAAGAGGAAGTGCTTTGTGGAGCCCATGAGCAAACAAGGCTGGGCTGATTAGGACTGGAATGCTAGAGCACAGAAGAAGTCTTAAAGGGACTGTTGAGGGACTTTGATGCTACTGCAGAATCTAAGGAGAGGCTGAGATTGACTGGTAACACAGGCATAAGGGCTGCCTCACTCAGATTGGAGCATAAAGACCTGCTTCTACATCACTTGACTTTTTCTTTCACACCAGTGAATCCCCTTTGCACTGGGGTTCATTTAAACTGCTTTTGTTT